AGGGGAAAATCTAGTTCTAAAACTATGTTAAGCAATGCTAGCCCAGACGAGTTTAACAGGTTCCTAGTGGATAATGTGCATGATATTGTTAATAGCATTCCAAATACAGACTTGAACCCCCTGAATGGTATGAATGGCCTAAGTCAGCCGGCCTCAGATAACCTAACCAAATGGAATCCTGTAGATTCAATGTACATAAGGAAATTAGTTTCTGGGCTAAAACCATCTAGCAGTCAGGATATTTATGGGATGACCACATTAGTTCTTAAGGCAATAGTGAGTGAAATTGCGCATCCATTAGCTATGGTTATAAACAGCTGCCTAAAAGTAGGGGCCTTTCCCAACATCCTAAAAGTGGCTCGCATGGTACCCATATACAAAAAGGGTGACCCGTCCAACTTAAACAGCTACCGCCCCATTTCATTGATACCAGTCTTTAGTAAAGTCTTCGAGTCCGTCATTAAAGATCAGTTGGTGAATTATTTTGAATCAAACAATCTGCTCTCAAACCTACAGCATGGGTTCAGAAAGAACCATTCAACAACTTCGGCCGTCTCTGAATTGGTTAACAAAGTGCAAACTGCCTTTGAGGCATCCGACTCGCTTGCCTTAACACTTTGTGACTTAAGTAAAGCGTTTGATTGTATATCACACAGCATACTTACAGACAAACTTGAACGCTATGAGGTTGGGGGCGTGGCTCTCACGTCAATCAAGTCCTATCTGGAAAATAGGCAGCAGGTAATCTCACTTAGCGGTGCCCAGTCTAGACCTCTGGCAATCCAACACGGCGTTCCTCAGGGATCGGTCTTGGGACCAGTACTATTTCTGGTATCAATCAACGACCTTGAGCTAAATGGTTCTTCTCTCAGGTTTGCAGATGATACCACCATCTTTGCAACGGGCTCTACCCCTGCGCGTGCGCTTGACACGGCTGAAACACTTTTTGATGAAGCTAAGGCATGGTTCTCAGCCAAAAGATTTAAGCTGAACGAGGAAAAGACCCAAAAAATCGTATGCTCCCTAACTCGATATCCCCAAATCGAAACCAAAGTCCATCTTCTAGGTTTCACCATCGACACCAAACTGACGTGGGCAGATCATATCGAAGTTGTTTGTAGAAGGCTGTCTAGAGTCGTGTGCCTGTTACGCAAGCTTACCAAGCCATTAACTCCACAATATTTAAAGGTGGTCTACCACGCTCTTTTCCATAGCGTGCTGAGTTACGGCCTACTGCTCTGGGGGCATGCGCCTAATTGTAAGGATGTACTCTTGCAGCTGAAGAAGGCTGTCAGGACTATAACTTCCAGCAAAAGACTGGACCACTGCCAGCCTCTTTTTGTAGAAACAAACATATTAACGGTCTTTAGCCACTTTATTCTACTAAGTGCAGCATATGTTAAAAGCAATATCCAAGTTTCCAACCAGAGATACCGTTCACAAACACCAGACAAGACGAAACCATGAAATTGACATCCCCTTCTGTAGACTTGCTAAGACGAAGAATGCCTTCCCGACCATAGCAATTAGGATCTACAACAACTTGCCCCAAGATATAAAAAACCTGGAAATAAAGAAATTTAGCACTGCCCTTAGGTCCTGGCTAGTAACCAAACCTTTTTATAGCCTTGACGAATACTTTGAAACAGTGAATAAATAGGGTTGATCCACCGCCATAAGTGATTGAATGTATATATTGTAATTAGATTTTATCAAATAGTATTTTACTTTTATTTTATCATGACACAAACTATCCGACAAAGCTGGTCTTGGTGAAGAGGAAGGTAATCAGGTAATCAGGTATACAATTAATGTGTTGTGATTTGTATTATAGAATTGAAATTGGTGTAAATGTTTAGCATCGATATTAATTCTTATGTTAACAAATTTTACACAGATTTGTTTAATGAAAACAGAGTATTGGGAGGAAAATCTTTATTTCACAACATTTACCCAAGCGATATGGTCACGAAAATGAGGTTAGTGCACTCTAACAGTATTTTAAGTACCTAAAGCCGAAAATTAGGTTTTGCTGGCTCGAGATAGTTTTTTTAAGTTCGAGGTGAGAACTTAAAACGATCGAGAGCTGCAAAACCATTTCGGTCCGTGGTACGAATACTGTTTTTCACCACACTATACCCTATTGCCATTATTCACCGAAATAATAATGCACACTAACAGTCAACACAACTATAACTATAAGGTTATGTGAAGAAATAATTTGAGGAATCAGAAAAAATAATAATAAAATAGTTGCTAGGCAGTGGTGACGACAAAACAATTTTATTGCAATGTTATGGATACCGATAAGCGGGCAGCTGATTTTGCGGCCCTAGGGATGTAAAAACTTGCTCGGTCCCAAAATGACAACGACAGCTGGCATGGCCAGCAAAACGTAACTTTCAGCCACCGTATGTAAAGCGAATGTACAACAACAACAACAGCTAAAAACATCATATCGTGAGAAAAATATATTTTAGCATCGTTATACAAATTTGGATGGGTTTATATTAGTTTCACATTGTATTTTCACTTCGGTAAAACTAATTACAGCTTACTTATTAATATAATTAATAGCTAACTAATAACTACTGCAGAATGTTATATATTCATCCACAGTTAATTATATACATATTACGTACATATACGACATATAACTTATTTTAATTCATATTTTGTAGGCGGAGTAATACGTGTTACATCTAAATAATGCCACCAGCTATTTGTGTTATACAAAAGAAGATTAACAAGCATAAAAAAATATAAAAAAATGTAATACTATGCAAACATATTAAAAGCGTAACTTAAGCAATATGTTCCTTCCAAGAATAAGTAGTCTGGGTACTTACAATGTAATCAGATATTTCCACTTCACTATGTTTTAATATTCTGGGTTTTCAATAGAAATGAATAGGGGATTTTTATTTCTATTTTCAGATCTTCAATACTGCTTAGTTTGCCTTCGTGACTTTCTATTGTGATTGTAGACAACAATGGTTTATTTTTACTCCAAATAGTATGCCCAGATTTATTAAAATCGTTTCCTAAATAACATTTTGTAAGTATCACAAGATAAATCTAATATATAAAATTCTCGTGTCACAGTGTTTGTCTGCAAACTCCTCCGGAACGACTTCACCGATCGTTATGAAATTTGGTGTGTAAATTCTGTAGGTATGCGAATCGGACGTAAACTATTTCCCGTTTCGAAATTCTTAAAAGGGCTCCGCCCCAGTGGCTCTGGAGTTTCCCATGTTAACCTTATGAGAAATGGAATTAATGAATCTTAACAGCTGTTTCAATTGAACAATTTGGTTCTGTTCTATGATGTTCAATAGCATTAAAGTTACAAGGATTACCAACAGGGTGCAGCCCTATTATTTCTTTTACATTTATGACAACAGCTAATTTGCAACCAAAAGGTGAGTGAGCGTAGCGAACGAACTTCAACCTGGAGGCGAGTGAGCGTAGCGAACGAGCTAACCTGGAGGCGAGTTAGCGTAGCGAACGAGCTCCAACCTAAAGGCAAGTGAGCGCAGCGAACGAGCTCCAACCCAAAGGTGAGTGAGCGTAGCGAACGAACTTCAACCAGGACGTGATTGAGCGATGCGAACGAGATCATCTTGAAAATTAAACGTAACGGTACTTTCTTTCCATCGGTCTGTTTTAGGGGAAACCTATAACTTAGGCGATACGAAGGTCGCCGGGTCAGCTAGTTATAATATAGTATAATTGAAATAATGATTGCTTGGATGTAAAAGATTTTCACTCTCTTTCTACCATCTAGCTATATTGTAAACACCCACATTACTAGACTAAAACGGATATTTTATGTTGTTAGATTGGTCAAAGTAAACGACTGTTTGTAGTTGTCACAGCGCCTGGCACGGCAGAATCTGACAAATCAGCGGTCGTGACTCCATTTTTCTCTTTAAAGTATTACTTTGGCCCTGCAGAAATCATCCTTGTGATATTTACGATGAATATTAAGAATAAACCACAAAATGGTTTTGCAAGATAGAAAATCCCCAACAACTATAAATATGCTAGACAATTATATTATAAACTGTTTGGAAATACAGTAGGACCTCAATATCTCGAATCTGAAGGGGATATGATAAAAATTCGAGTTATCAAGTTTTTCAAGTTAGTGAGGTTCGAGTTATGAAGGTGCCATACAAAAAAGTTCGAGATACTGAGGTGTTTGGGCCTGACAGTGATGTAACGTTGCGGCCTTTATAACTCGACTTTTACATCCTAAACCTTTATAAATCGAACTCAAACTGTATTTATACGTACTGAAGAGTAACTGTGGAAGCAAAATAAAACAATTTTAATGCACATAAAGTACTTTATTTATTATTGGGCAATAAGTTTGGAAATAAGTTTCATAAAGTACATACGTAAAAAACCTGTTGAATAACAAAGAAAAATTATTTTAAATACTGAACAAAACACAAAACAATACAAATTCTAAACAAAATACAAGTTTAACTTTTCAAAATGTAGTTAAGTAGGCCTACTGAATCTAAACTCGACTTTTACATCCTAAACCTTTATAATGTAAATCGAACTCAAACTGTATTTACCCACGTATTGAAGAGTAGTTACTGTGGAAGCAAAATAAAACAATTTTAATGCACATAGAGTACTTTATTTATTATTGGGCAATAAGTTTGGAAATAAGTTTGATAAAGTACATACGTAAAAAGCCTGTAGCAAAATGTAGTTAAGTAGGCCTACTGAACCTACTTTGGCAAAACGGGATGAAAGAAATCTTCAATTCTTGCTTGTTTACCTTTTATGTTTACGGCATCCAATGCTATGTCCAAGTTATTGATGCAATTCACAACACTATCACTCATCACTGACTTTTTCTCAAAAAAACACCGAATCACATGAATTGCAGCACGAGCATCTTTAAGAGTTGGGTCTGGCTGTGTTGATTTGCCCTCATCCTCCTCTCCCTCGTCTGAAGAAACTGCATTCGAACTCGAACCTCAAGCAACCGATGTAATGATGTCTGCGTCAGTCAGCTCCCCGCATACAGCAACGTCGTCGTCAAAGTCTACGAAGTCCACGAACGCCAACTCTTCAACATTCAGAGCCTGTGCTGCTACAGTCCATTCAGCCGGTGTCTCATTTATGTCCGCGATAGAAGGTTCATCCTGTACTTCATCCAGTTCATTTCCCGTGGTGTGTTGGGGTACCTCAAAACCACATGCATTAAAGCAGTTTTTGATTGTCACCGAAGTCACACAGTTCCAGGCTTTTGACACCATCCATAGTGCATCGAGTAGATTAATCTGCGTCATTGACTCGTTGTCCATATCCCTCAAAAATCGTTTGACAACCTCTCTTCTGTAGTTCACTTTAAAGTTTTTAATGATCCCTTGATCAAGTGGTTGTAGCTTGGAGGTTGTGTTTGGTGGTAGGAATTGTACTTTGACGTTCTTCAGAGGAGGTATGTCCTTGTGTGCTGAGCAGTTGTCAATAAAGAGAAGTATTTTTCTATTCTTCTTCTTCATGGCCTTATCGATATTTTTCAGCCAAGAACTGAAAAACCCAGAAACCATCCAAGCTTTATTATTTGCTTCATACTCTGTCGGCAAACTTTTCACATTCTTAAAACAGCGTGGATTTTTTGCCTTTCCTATGACAAGGGGCTTGAGTTTGTCTGTTCCGTCGGAGTTAGCACAAAGCAACACAGTTATTCTAACTTTGCTCATTTTCCCACCACTACATGAATCACCTTTAAAAGACAGGGTTCTGTCTGTCAGACACTTAAAAAAAAAGCCAGTTTCGTCGGCATTGTAAATGTTTTCTGGCAAATATGACTCAGTCAGTTTTTTTAGTTCTGTTTTCCATTCGTCACACACATTGGAGTTCACAGAAGCACTTTCTCCACAAACCTTTCTGAAAATAATTTCGTTTCTTTTTTTGAAGTTGTGCAACCATCCGTTGCTGGCGCAGAAGTCTTTCTTTCCTAAGCTCTCTGCATATTGAATGGCCTTCTCTTGCAAAATCGGTCCTGATACAGGGATGTTCTTATCTCGACACTGTTTCAACCACGTTAAAACACATTCGTCAACGTCTTTAAACTCACCACTTTTACATCTCTTCTTATTGGTTAGTCCACCTTCAGCCTCATACTTTTCCCGGTTTTTCATAATTGTTGATAAAGTGTTAGGCGGAATTCCGAACTCCTTAGCGATTTCACTTTTTTTCTTTAATCCTTCGTCAACTGCCTTAATAACTCTTCTTTTTTCATCGTGTGTCAACGTTTTGCACGCTTAACCGACGACATGACGTCCGACGCGCACAAAATTATCTCAACAACTGGCAGACTACAGTACGTATCCAAACAGACACAGGAAGCAACCACCGGAAGTTGGATTTTCACGTCTCGACAGGAATCAAAACACTACTGACTTGCACTGTAAGGCAAAACTTCGAATTATTGAGGCGCATTCGTGCGAACTTCGACTTATAAAGGTAAACTTCGAGTTACTGAGACTCGACGACGGGAAAATTCGACTTATAGAGGTGGAATATTACCGTTCAAAAGTTGTTAAAAATCGACTTATTGAGGTTGTGTATTTAGAAACTTCGACTTATAAAGGTACTTTTAACATTATGATTAATGTGGATTTCAAGGGGATTAAAAAAAAATCTAGATATTGAGGAATTCGAGATATTAAGGTTCGAGTAATTGAGGTTCTACCTTCAATGGGGTAGCATTACTTAAGTGAATAAATCTGTAAATAAACAGCAAAGTTGGAGTAAGTCGATAAGTGATTTAAAATGTAGGTTGACATTTCTTTATGTGCGCGAGCAAAAGAAAGACAGAGGGTTCCCAAGGTTTTCACTCTTTTTACAAAAAAAATAAAAAATAGTTTACCTACAGTTACCTAACAATGTACATGTTCTCTCACTGATTTGAGAAAGCAAAGTGGCCAATTCACTCATCAGTGAGACAATGTTAACATTGTCTCACTCTAATTACTTTGTCTCACTCTAATTACTTTGTCTCACTCTAATTACTTTGTCTCACTCCAGATTTGCAACGTGAAGGCACGAAATAGTGAGCGCGTAACATGCAGGCAACGTCGTATGCGCGCGAAATACGTTGGCAGCACTGGCTGTAAATCAGCTGGTCAGCTGTTGTACTGTTGTATTTGTCACTTCACATTGAATGTTATATTAAAAGTTCACTTCTGTGTAAAAATGGGTTATGTTTCTTTACCAATTTATTTGTTTTATGGTAACTGTAGGAAAAGTATAATGTGCAACTCGAGTTCAAAGTACAATTGCCTCTCTCGAGTGAGTCAATTGCTCACTTTTCTCACTAGTTGCACAAATAACTATAATTTACCTGGAAAAATGTGCGTTTTAGTTAACGAAAATAGATAATCTACTATGGTAGACATTACAATAAAATGGTCACAAGATAAGGTATTTTATTATGTGTTTTAAGTGGTTTAGAAGAAACACAATGTTTATAGGGGCTACGATCAGCCACATTTGTAGTTCTTAATAAGGTCCCTGATTTCCAAAACTAAATGGTTTTACATTCTTTTAAACTGATGTATTCAAAATGATTTTGAACTCCTGCACCTAGTTTAAAATTACTTAAAGACTTTGCTATTCTCGACAGATTTCTGTGGAAATTGATCGTTTCCCTGAACAGACGGGTTGAACTGCGTCGTCGGAATACGAAGTAGCTTCTTTTATCAGGTCTTTAGATACAGGTTTGTCGGATAAGTCTATGATGAAAATTACCCTATATATGTTTCTTGTGCCTGACAACTATAGCTTATAAAACAACTAACTTTTTTGTGTAATGCTCAGAATGGTACAACAGCTATTTAAATTTTTTAAACATTTTATTGAAATTTTCCGTAAATTTTATGATGAGATTGTATTGTATTTCTAACATTAATCTGTTACAGAATATTATTATTGATGAATAGTACTGTAAAAAAACACGACAAAATCTGTAAATATACGTTATAAAATTAAAATTATATATTTAAAATATTTCGCAAAATTTAGGAAATATGACTTTTACCCCCACGAATAAGAAATTTAGGCATTTTAAATTATTTATCTTATCAATGGGTTGTCCTGCAATATACTAATGATTTTTGGACCGTGTCCTTTAGAGAAACGTAAAAAATTTCAAAAGTGTAAATCAGAAAATAGTGCCCGAGCATAAGAAGTAATAATGCGATTTATTTGTATCATGTGTGTTTTACAAGTTTTTTTATCTTTTACGAAGGGAACGGTCCATACCCCGGCCTTGTAACTATCTAAAGCTGAACCTTTGACTAGAACCATCACTAATTTATAGCCCAGTCTCGGGGACAAATTTAATCTGAGTTTATTATCTGTTGGATCTGAACCAGCATCCTCTAAATATGAAGGCGAGCACTATAATCAGTTTCATTCAGGGATTAAGATTGATCAAAACCTCGGTTTGAAGTATTATTTTTTACTTTGAAAAGTCTTTCGGATGGAAAGTTGGGAAATTATAAATCATTAGCTAAAATAATGTTGTACTATAGTTATAGTCGGGGAGCGAGCTGGTCTAGCGGTAGAGATGGCGAGACTTTGGTCCCCTAGGTACCAGGTTCAATTCCCACAAATCACCAACGGGGGTCTAAGTGATAAGACCTAGCCTGAAGTACAATTCCGGTCTAGAAACCTAGAAAGGAAAAAAAGATAGCTAGTTTTGGTAGAATTCTACGATCATAGTAAGCGTAAGTCAAATCTTGATATAAATAACATTTTACAAATAAAATCGGTTTCTGCTCTAAGACTATGGGATGCTCTGCTAGTTCTGTGACAACGATTACTGCTAGCTGTACAATTTAAAATAAGATTATATAGTCAAAGACATCATACAAATAATTGGTTTTAGACTCTAAGTAGGGATGTAGGGTGTACTATTGGGAAATGCTCAACAACTTTCTATATAGAAAACGATAAACAAACAAAACACTTTTGCCAATACAACTTAATTCTTCGCTCTAACAAGGAATATTGGCCATTTTGAAATAATCCATTTAAAAATTCCATTGGGATTCATTCGTGGGATTCATTCTCCATTGGGAAATAATCTCTACGGTCTGTGTAATGGAACCTGTCTCCTGACTTTCCGTCTTCCTGTGGACAATGGTTCAAGGTCCGGTTCTGTCCAAGTTAGACGGAAGTTCATATACAAGTTCCATGATACAGACCATAATCTAGTGCTAGGAAGCGGTAACAGTTCAAAGAGTTTTTACAACGACTACACCTACGTCCTACACGTGTGTCATTGTGCCGTGTCCTCATTCGGCTATTCCCATTGGCCACGGTTAGTCAACACACCATTAGTCGCGGCTACACACGCAGGCCTGACTAATTATATTGTTGACAACGCAGTGTTCCTGTCATACTCACACAGTGTGCTGCGCATTTCGTATAGATTGGTATGTACCATAGCATGCGTTCTGCAGTTTTTGGAAATAGCTAAACCTTTTTATTTAATTGTTTGGATACTATCATATATTCTTTTCAACCAAACCAACTTTTTTATAGTTGTGAAAGTTTAAAAGGGCTTTTTATCATCCCGTACAGATTATAATTGGATACTGAAACATTTTATGTCTTAAGAGTAAATCCAAAGTCTGTCTGCCACATAGTCTTTCAGACTTAATTTACGAAATAAATAGCTTGTGAAGTACTTGTAATAAACTTTTAAACATCACAGGTATTTCGGCATCAAAATTATGATTTTGGTTTATAGAATATAGCTTAACATTGTTTATGGATTTATAGTAACGTGATCTTATATAAAAATAATTTTCATTTGCATTTGCAAGCACTGTAGTAGCCTATCTATTCACAATTTATTATGATGGAATACTTAGAATGGAATGTTTAAGATATTGTTGAAATAATATGATTAAATATTAAGTTCATAGTGTAAACTTGCCATAATTGTTTCAGAAAACATTTTTAGTCTAAATAATTGGTTACCTTTGTCTTCTTATATAGTATAAGAAACAAAATAAGAATATATATTTGTAAAAAAAAAACATTCTTAATCAGCATTTTTTAATTGAAGGCCTATTAATATTTGTCGTCAAAGGTTCACAGTTCCAGAAAATGAACACTAATAATAATAACTGAACAAGAATAAATGTAAAACGCTAACTGAAGCAAGAAATGGTCAGAGGAAAAGTAATATAATGTTTTATTATTTTTGTATGTTTTACGGCCACATAAAAACTTTGTAGAAATCTTAGCATAAAAACTTTGCTTATTAAACGAGGTTTTCTGTTTATGACCAAAACAATGTAATACAGTTACTTTACCAGATGTTCGTTTTGGATACAAAGAGGCCCAAGTAGGAGAAAACTACGATAAACGACGGTACTAATTACTAAAATCTGTTGTTTGTTGTTGGTATCCAATTTTACAATCCCACAGAAACTCACATTTTGTTTATAAAACAAACAAAAAAAACTAATATCATAGTAGGTTTAGGTGCAATAGGGTTGAATCTGACTAGAAAGATGTTAGGAGTTTCTTATAATAATTCATATTGACCATCGTAAAAATATGCCATTAACACATAATGGTATGTCAAATAAATATTAGGACAAATATCCGTAAGAAGTAAGTGTTTATTTTTTCTGGTGTAATAATTAGCAAAAGAAATCTAAAATATTTTAATAACTACTAGTGTATGACTATGGTGTATGACTAAATAAAATATACAGTAATCATATCAGCAATCATTTGAGATGTAAAAACTGTTATGGCACAAAAACAACTACAACAATAACAATTGTTATTGCAGTTCCCTCTAAGTATTATATAAATTTATGTTTTGGATCAAATATATTTATTTGTAGTGTCAATGATCTGTTGCAGAACAATTTTTGTGTGATTGTTGTCAAGAACTGGTAATCGTTTTACCCATCAAACATCATGAGAAGTTTCGGGAGTACTTGTTTAGGTGAGTTTGAACACTAAACAGCTTTTAAACATAATGATTCTCTCAAAGATAAATTCTGTATGTCACTGCTTTTGTCCATAAATGGTTTTCACAAATTCGAAAAGGGAAAATTAGTTATATAATTACACAAGAAACATTTAATAAAATATCTAGTTGGCTGAA